GTCAAAAATATGCACTTGGAAAAGTGGAGTCTGTCAGAGTGACCAGGAGTGGTTTTATTTTGATTAATTGTATTTCTGAAGAGCAGAGGAAGATTGCAGTGGGCCTCAAAAGAATCCGGACAACAGAAGTTTTGTGTTTTGAACTTCGGAGTAGAGCACCCGTCGAAGGAGTCATCTCAGTGGTGACGATGGATGTTCAGGTTGAATACCTGAAGAGAATTCCTGGTGTGGTTGGTGCCCGGCGTCTGACCCGCTGGGTGAATGGAGAAAAATAATAAAGTCTGTTGGTCCTTTTGTTTTTTGATAAAGAGCAAATACCTACGCATGTGAAGCTTGGTTATGTAAGATATGCCGTAAGAGCTTTCGTCCCCAAACCACTGCAGTGTAAGAATTGTAAAGGATTTGGCCATGTTTCAAGTGTGTGCAGACGAACAGAGTATACTGAAGAAAGGTGTGTAGAAGGACGACGGTGTTGCAATTGTGGTGGGGATCATGATCCTGAGTTCCTGGAGTGCCCTGTAAGGGTGAAGGAAATTGAGGTGGCAAAAGTTAGAGCGGTCAATCCAATCTCCTATGCGGAGGCGATTAAAATAATTGAGAAAACAAGTGATGCTAGTGAAGAGATGGTAGTGGATACACCACAGCCTGTAGTAAATGTTTGCTGCCAGACAAAAGTTACCCTGTGTGTTAAAAAGGTGGATTTTGTTGCGTTCATTGCCACAGTTATAAGCTGTACAGTACAAGTCTCAAAGAAGTCGAAGAAACTAGACATTATTGTGGCTGCAGCAGAAAAGTTTTTGGGACTCAAGGATCCTGTGTAGGGATCAGATCTGTTTTATTTATTTATTTTTAACAGAAAAGTTGTTTTATTTATTTATTTTTTGGTCGTTTTTTGGTAGTTCCGTTTTTTTGGGGAATCCTGTTTCCATCCCGCATAGTAGGTGGCGGGATGCACATTAAATTGTGTGATCGCCAATATACCATAGAACAAGAACAAGAAGAAGAAGAACAAGAAGAAGAAGGGCGTGTTACAGGTTTCGTTTTTTCCATTTATGTAGCACTATATTGGATCACTCCAATTTGATGAAAAGCGGAGGGGAAGTTTTTCTGGTAGACAGTGTAGGACCCAAACTCACAGAGGGTGAATGGCGCAGGAGGGGATGGCTGCCGTTTTACGGGCTCCTAACCAATTGTGTATTTTGTGTGTTTTTTTGCATTGTTTGTAACTTATTTTCTACATAATGTTGATGCTACTGTCTCTTATCACCGAAAATAGCTTCAGGATATCAGAACAGCGATTACTCACCTCGAACTGGAGAAAGATGTTTTATTTAATGAGTCTGACGTGAAGGATATAATGTTGCTCCCAGACAAGGCCCAAATCCCCGTCATTCGCATGAAGAAAATAAGGAAATACAGGGGGCGCAGATCAGGGTGCCTTGTGAGAATTTGTCGGCGAGTGGGTAACCCGCCTCTACCATCCATTCTATTGGACAACGTGCAATCACTGGAGAATAAACTGGATGAGCTCCGTTCGAGACTATCCTACCAACGGGACATTAAAAACTGTAATATCTTATGTTTAACCGAGTCTTGGCTGAACGACAACACAGATAATATACAGTTGGCTGGGTTTTCCGTGCATCGGCAGGACAGAACAGCTAAGTCTGGTAAGACGAGGGGTGGGGGTGTGTGTCTATTTGTCAATTAAAAAGCATGAGACCGAGGCTTGTACCGAGGGTCAGGATAAAGATGAGTCTGTGACAGTAGGAGTGAAGTTTTTGGAAAAAGTAGACCCTTGCCTTTTGGCTGATTCATTTGTGGCTTCAGGGTGGGTGAAAACAGATTTGGGTGCTGTGGAATCGGTGAGGGTAACCAGAAGTAGTCTTGTGATAATTGTTTGTGTTTCTGCTGGTCAGAGGGAGCAGGCTCTCCGCGTTAAATGAATGGGGGCAAGAGATGTGAATTGTTTTGCTCTCAAGAAAAGGGTGCCATTTAAAGGAGTGATTACTTGGGTAGCGGTAAATGTAAAAGTTGACCAACTGAAGGGGAAGATTCCCGGTATTTGTGATGCTCGTCGTTTGGTGCGACGCAGACAGGGTGGTATGAGTGGTGAAACAGAAGAGTCGTTGTCTGTTCCTTTGAGTTTTGATGTTGAGTCTTTGCCCGACAAAGTGATGATAGGATATATAAGTTATCCTGTACGAGCTTTTGTGCCAAATACATTACATTGTTACAGGTGTCAAGCTTATGGGCATGTGGCAGCAGTGTGTAGAAGGGAGTTTCCTAGGTGTGAGAAGTGTGCAGAAGGGCATGAGAGAAAGGAATGTGTAGCATTGGGGAAAGTAGTGGTATGTGTTAATTGTAGGGGTGCTCATTGGGCTGGGGATCAGAAACGTCCTGTGCGAGAGTGGCAGGTTGAGGTTTCCAGAGTTAAAGTAGTGCGGAAGTTGTCATATGCTGAGGCAGTGAAGAAAGTAGAGGAAGATGGGTCAAGGCGGAGGGATCCTGAGAGGAGTGGTGTGAGTAGTAGATCTGTACCATTACAGAGGGATAAACCAACAAGTGATATATGTTTCAGTAAGATTGGATTTTGAGCATTTATAGCAATGGTTATCAACTGTACTGCAGGGATGGAACGTAAGTCGCAGAAAATTGAGGTTGTGGTGGCAGCTGCAGAGAGGTATTTGGGTGTGCGAGGCTTGACGTCAGAAGAGTTACAGGGTGTGTTAAGTGGTGGTGTCCCATCCTTTCAGGCTGTTGGCCTGAAGTAGGACTAAATAGATTTAAATAGTGGAATAGGGTGGTGTTCTTTTTTATTATTATTACTATATAAAAAAAGTGTTTTGTTAGATGGTAGGGTATTTGTTTAGCAAAGTATAAGGGAGTTGTACTCCAGTCTAGTAGGTGGCAGAAATGCAACATTTATTGGATGCCAACCGCCGTTAAACCTCATTGAAGAAGATCACTCCAAAATGATATCCTGCAGCTCGACAGGATACATACCGAGTAAGAATTTCAGATTAGTCCCGTGTACCGGGTAGTGCTGCGACTGACCCCTTTAAATAGCTGCCGCCGCACTACTCCCACCTCTTCCTTTTCTCGTGTCATTCCCGAGAGGATTCGCTTGGTAAAAACTCTATGTTAGAGCGTATAAGCGCAGAAGTATACCTGCTGCTATTCAATAGCTTGGAGCAGCTAGCTAGCTAGCTAGCCTCTCCACCTGGGTGCTCTGCTGTCACCCCACTCGGTTTGGCTTGTGCCATCTTGTTTGTGTTTTGTCCTTGTATTTAATTACTTGTGACAGTGTACCAACCTGGGCGATACTCGGTTTGGTCAAACAGTATTGCGCCGCTGAGGGTTTGTCCTAGTTGTCAGTCCACCGGAACCCTCCCTGGTTAGACTACGGGCTCGGGGACCGCACCTAATCCAGCAAGATCGGGAGTCTGTGTATGTTTTGCTCCGGCGGGCTTGCAGTTCTCCCCAGAGAGTGAGTCATGCCAACTTAGTGACATTGTCGCTATATTTAGCGAGTTCAGACCCCTCTAGCGACACATTTTCAAAAAAGTGACTAGCGACTTTTTCTGATGTTATTGGAGACTCTGACGTGAAAGCACGTATCGTTCTTACTCTTCTCAACGAGCAGCGGGTGCTTTGTTACCCCCGTCCCAAAGCACTCACAGGCGGCCCAGTACTCGCGCAGCAGTCCCTCCCAGCTGCAGTCAGAGCAGGAGCTGTTCACCCCTCTGCGTCCAGACTGCAAATGAATAGTACATGCGGGAAGCCGCTGGCTGATCCCGCCCTGGCTTACATTCAGGGCGGGATGTAAATGTAGGGTGTTTTTTACTCACTTTTTGTCTCTCCCACGACGTTATTCCTCTCTCCTACAGCATCCATCACAATTACATGCACATGGTCAATTATGCAAATTAGGCGATGACGTAATTTAGCGACTTCTAGCGACTTTTAGGACAGCCAATAGCTACTTTACTTACTGAGGAGTTGGCAACACTGGCACCGATTGGTGTCACCTCGTTAGTCAGTATGTGTTACACCTGTGCTGGTTGCCATCTTGTTAGTGGGAAGGTGTTTCACCTGTGCTGGCCCAGGTGCTATTTAAGAGTGGCTGGCCCAGTGCTCCAGTTGTCTTGATAGATGCCGGCAACAACACCTTCAGCTGGCACTCCCTATTTTGAGTTCTAGACAAACAATCCTTTATCTAATTTCATTTTGCGCCACCTTAATGGTTTGCTTCCTGTCTTTAACGTTGGTGTGTGTTTTTCTTTTGTTTACCTCTTCTTGGGCAAATTTCGTGGGCGCCCATGGTGGGTGTCTTTTAGGTTCCAGTTGTTGTTGCTAGTCAACTTTCAGTGGACACCCCCAAGAGTGTCTTTCAGAACCCCTCCTAAAACCCCACCTGTTTCGTTTTGGTTGTTGTCAATAACTCTTTGTTAGTTCCCCCTTCTGTTTGAGCGACTATTTGGTTTTCTAGCTGGGGAACGTAACAAGAGCCTGCAAACATTTTCATTGATTGTGTCAATCCAATTATCCCATTGGTAGCAATTGATTAGCTTGTTATACGCTATGTAAGGTGAGATCCGTTTTCTATTTTAGTTGCTATTATTCAAAGAGCTAGCTAGCTATCATAACTAGCTAGTTGATAGTGGGTGGGGTTGTCATTAAGAGTAGCAGACTAGCTACATAACGTTAACTAACTAGAGATATTTTTCTGCAATGTGTCATTTTTCTCGTTTCCGTTCATCTCGATGTAACACAGTTTGAAGGCTAAGCAACATAGCTAGTTAACTTAACTGCTAGCATGTTATCTAACTTGCTATGTTTTGTATGCTGCTCCTATATGATCCACTGATGTTGAATCTGCTAATTAGCTAGCTATCTTGCACAGGTGTATAACATTTTATGAGCAAGTTTTGAAATGTAAATTTAGTTCAATGGCAAACTTAACACATTTCTTCTTGTTTTCTGTAGGAAACACTAATATGGATGTTGTGAACTTTGCTTCCTGTGCTATTGGAAAACGCCTGGATACTTTTGGCCTTCTACTGGACTTGGTTATCTGGTTTGTGAATTGGCTAAGCCTACTTTTCTCCAACATGGGTTCCTCTCTGCATGACCTGCCAGTGGTGCCGAGAGGCTCCACCTTATTAGAATGCTGGAACTGTGCCCTGTTCTCCTTCCTCACTGTAACCGAGGTGTCACGCCCTGGCTCAGGGTGTGGATTTTCTATGTTTTGTTTTCTATGTTTTTGTTTCTAGATCGTGTTGATCTATGTTGGCCAGGGTGGTTCCCAATCAGAGACGGCTGTAGCTCGTTGTCTCTGATTGGGGACCATACTTAGGCAGCCTGTTGGCACCAGTTTATTTGTGGGGATCTTGTTCCGTAAGGTTTGTTTTGGTGTTGTAACCTCAGGACTTCACGTATCGTTCGTTTTGTTGTTTTGTTCGTGTTGTGTACTGAAATAAAATGTACGCTTATCACGCTGCGCCTTGGTCCGTGTCTTCAGTCGACGATCGTGACAGAAGATCCCACCATAAGAGGACCAAGCAGCGTGCCCAGGAGGAGAAGATGGCGATGTCGCAGGTGGGCAAATGGTGGTCTTGGGAGGAGATATTCGCGGGCAAAGGGCCATGGGCAAAGGTGAATGCCCAGGCAGGAGAGGAGACTGTGGAGGCGCGCTACAGAGAGGAGCAGCGGCAACGCAGAGGGTACCGGCCGAGGAGGAAGCCCGAGAGACAGCCCCAATAATTTTTTTGGGGGGGGCTAAAAGGGTGGTTGGCAGAGCCTAGAGGTAAAGCAGAGCCAACTCCCCGTACTCAGGCTAGGAAGCGTGAGACTGGGCAGGCTCCGTGTTATCCTGTACGTCCTGTGCTAGCACCACGCACGTGTCGTTCTAAGGTGGGCATGCAGCCAGGACGGGGTGTGCCGGCTCAACGCTCGTGGCCTCCAGTACCCCTCCTCGGTCCCGGATATCCTGCGCCAGTGCCACGTGCTGTAGCGCCAGTACGAGTGCACAGCCCTGTACGTCCTGTGCTGATGCCTCACACATATTGTGCGGAAATAGGCATTCAGCCAGGACGGGTTGTGTCAGCTCTCCGCTCCAGACCTCCAGTCCGCCTCCACAGTCCGGTCTGGCCCGTTCCTGCTCCCCGCACCAAACCAGTGGTGCGCGTCGCCAGCCCGTTCCGGCCTGTTCCTGCTCCCCGCACCAAGGCAGTGGTGCACGTCACCAGCCCAGTCCGGCCTGTTCCTGTCCCTCGCACCAAGCCTGTGGTGCGCGTCGCCAGCCCGGTCTGTTCCTGTCCCTCGCACCAAACCTGTGGTGCGCGTCGCCAGCCCGGTCCGGCCTGTTCCTGTCCCTCGCACCAAGCCTGTGGTGCGCGTCGCCAGCCCGGTCCGGCCTGTTCCTGTACTCGCACCAAACCAGTGGTGCGCGTCGCCAGCCCGGTCCGGCCTGTTCCTGCCCCTCGCACCAAGCCTGTGGTGCGCGTCGCCAGCCCGGTCCGGCCCGTTCCTGCTCCCCGCACCAAGCCAGTGGTGCGCGTCGTCAGCCCGGTCCGGCCCGTTCCTGCTCCCCGCACCAAGCCAGTGGTGCGCGTCGTCAGCCCGGTCCGGCCCGTTCCTGCTCCCCGCACCAAGCCAGTGGTGCGCGTCGTCAGCCCGGTCTGGCCCGTTCCTGCTCCCCGCACCAAGCCAGTGGTGCGTGTGTCCAGTCCGGCACAGCCCGTGCCTGTTCCACCGGTGCCTGGTCCGGCACCGGTCAGCTGCTCCACTCCGGAGCCAGAGCAATCCACTCCACCAGTGTCCAGTCCAGCTCCGGCCAGCGGGACCAGATCAGGGGCGCAACGGGGGGGTGGAGAGAGAGTGGTGGTCACGCCCGGAGCCGGATCCGCCTCCGAGGCGGAATGCCCACCCGGCCCCTACCCTCTTGTGTTTGTGTGGCGCGGTCGCAGTCCGCGCCTTTGGGGGGGGGTACTGTCACGCCCTGGCTCTGGGGACTCTTATATGTTGAGCCAGGGTGTGGATTTTCTATGTTTTGTTTTCTATGTTTTTGTTTCTAGATCGTGTTGATCTATGTTGGCCAGGGTGGTTCCCAATCAGAGACAGCTGTAGCTCGTTGTCTCTGATTGGGGACCATACTTAGGCAGCCTGTTGGCACCAGTTTATTTGTGGGATCTTGTTCCGTAAGGTTTGTTTTGGTGTTGTAACCTCAGGACTTCACGTATCGTTCGTTTTGTTGTTTTGTTCGTGTTGTGTACTGAAATAAAATGTACGCTTATCACGCTGCGCCTTGGTCCGTGTCTTCAGTCGACGATCGTGACACGATGTGGTCACAGGCACAGCCCACTGAGCTTTTAATGTACTGGAGGGATGGCTGCAGACCTTAGGAGGGGTGTTTGAGAGTTTCAAAATGGTAGGCCACCTCTTCTCACGTTGTGTGGAGCACCAAGGAGCTGCTACACCGTGGACTACTGTCTGCAAATACTGTGCTTGAACAGACTTGTGAAGGCTTCAGCATTTTGCTCAGCCTTGTTTTCTACTTTGTCAACATTCTCCTCATTGGTACCCAGAACTGCTTCTCTGCAATAGTAGGCCCCCTGCATAAAGGCTTGGAGCTGGACCTCACTTCTCACCTTTCTATACAGCTGCCTGGTGGGCACCTCTGTACTGTTTTGGACACCCAGCCAGCTAGCCCTGGAGTTTCTGAGCTCCATTGGTCATGTCTTTATCACAGTATTCATGCTCAACATCTATGGCTTGCTCCTAACATCGGTCATCATTGCTTTGACCTTGCTCTATCTCAACCTGGAGCTGCCTCGTGTGGCCCAGCAAGGTCTTCAATCCCAGGAATGCTAAGTCTACAGAGGACCATCTATAGACTGTACCTGCTGGCCATGGAGCAAGCTCAAGCTCTTCAGGATAATGCTGCCGTGCCATGGGGCAGGTGGCACAAGCCAAGGAGCAGAACAGTACAGCCGCTTGTGGCTGAAGGGTGGAGTGGGGTACCCAGTTATGGATCTAAGGGCCCCAGGTAGTCCTACTGACCATACAGGTATCCTTCTACCCCCAGAGCAGACTGGAAGAGAACAAGTGGAGTTATACTCAACACTTCAACAGTAGGTGGGATGACATCAACCTTGACCCAAACCAATACCACCACCCGTCTACAAGGACTATAGTGACGCAGCATCCTGCCTCTGGCCAAGGCAGCTAGGCCCCTCCAGTAGACACTGGCCTCCTCAGCCTGTTGAAGGAGCATGAGGAGTGGAAGAAGTGTGTAATCTGTCAGGACAGGGTCAAGAACGTGCTGCCACCTGTGCCTGTGTCGCCACTGCTCGGCCATCTTGCTGCAGCAGCCCCCCTTGCAGCACAGCAGTCCCCTCTGCCGACCGACCATCACATAGATGTCTTCCTCTGAGAGACCCAGGGGTCTGGTAGTGCACTATGGGGTGCAATTTCAGAGTCAAAGAGAGGGACACTGAGATAAATCTAGAGAAAGAAATGGAGCCAGTCTGAAAACAACCTGAGCTGTGATGATACCAGTATCGCAATATTTCTTTCCATGGCAAAAATGAAACCATGAAGCAGACCAAACTCTTTGGTCCTTAAATTTTTTTAAAACATTTTTAGTCATTTAGCAGACGCTCTTATCCAGAGCGACTTACAGTTAGTGAGTGCATACATATATATATTTTTTTCTCATACTGGCCCCCCGTGGGAATCGAACCCACAACCCTGGCGTTGTAAAAATACGTTAAAAAAATCCCCTTTTGTGTTTAGTTTCCTTGCCACAATACAAACGAGTATCGCGATACTGGTATCTTCCCGGCCCTATTAGCAGTACGGGGATGGTTCCAGCTCACCTTCCAACGGGATTTAAAATAGCTTCTGCTATGTTGCATATCTCTATTCTGTACATTTTAGATCTGCAAACACTGAAGGGGAAGACTTTACACTCAAGATGATGATAAACATCCACAATGTAGAGCTGTGCTGATAAAACCCAACTTGTCTGGTGAAAAATGGTACAGTATGTATGGGGCCTATTTAGTGGGATGGAACATTCAGATAGACATGACTGCAGATAGACATGGATTTTATAGAATTGCATTGACTATAGAGTTGTTGGCTCTGTGCAGTACATTTATATCTATAATGTTCAATGCTCTACCCTGAATAAGGCCATGGGGTTTCTGATGCTCACACTTTGCTTCCACCAGTTCCATAAATTCATATTGCAGCTTGCATTTTAGGTGTTTGGTCCTTTAGGTATAGTTTAGATAATGTGGACATATCCTTGATGGTTTTCCACAGTTGCACTAACTATATTGCACTGAACACAAAGCTGCTGTGCTGGCTTGTACAATTAACAAAATATGAGACTGCATACTTCAGGTTCCATCTTCCAGGCACAGTACTGTAGGAGAGCTGTACTTGTACTGTCATATATTTTATATAGATAGCTTATGACGACTAGGCCTATAACAATGTAATTTATAAATGATGAGTAATCCAATTTGTTTGGGAACTAATAAATTCAGATAATAATAGACTAACACTGCTCTAGTTATATATTTAGTGGAACTGTTTGTACCCTCCCATACTGTATGTTTGCTTGAAAAATGTTACACTACCTTTAAAGTTTGCAGGGCTATGATTTTGTCATGACTTCGGCCGAGGCTGCCTCCCCTCCTTGTTCGGGCAGGCTTCGGCGTTCATCGTCACCGGAGTACTAACCACTGCCGCCCCAATCATCATCACAATTGTCTTGTCTCGTTATCACACACACCTGGTTCTAATCCCCTAATTAGTCTGTGTATAAGTGTTCCCTCTGCCCCCTTGTCCTTGTGGGTGATTGTTTATTGTGAAGGTTAGTGACGCTCGTGTATTTTGTTCGACGGGAGTATTTTCCTGTGTGCCTTGTATTTTCCAGTGCACCTGTTTTGTGCCCTGGAGTGTGTTTGACACAGTTCTGCGTAAACCTGTATTTTGAGGATTAAAGCCTGTTATTCTGTGATTTACCCTCCTGCGCCTGACTCCTTCAACACCACCTCATCACAGATTTGATGCACAAGGTCATACATTTTTCTACGTTTTGTACCTACGAATGTTTTGTAAGTTATTCAGATACATGTTTTGTCACTTCATTAACCTTGTCAATGTTTTTGTATCATATCAAATAAACTACCATGCCTTGATGTAGGCTATAGTTTGACATTTGTCATGTGTATATGCCAGTATGTATTTATCCATCAAAACTAACAAGCTGAAATCCATATTTTAGACCGTTGCGCCACTCGGGAGGCCTAAGGCACTGCATCACAGTGCTTGAGGCGTTACTACAGACCTGGGTTCGATCCCAGGTTGTGTCACAGCCGGCCGTGACCGGGAAACCCATGAGGCGGCGCACAATTGGCCCAGCGTCGTTAGGGGAGGGTTTGGCCAGCTGGGATTTCCTTGTCCCATTGCGCTCTAGCAACTCCTTGTGGCGGCCGGGGGCCAGCAAGCTGACTTCGGGCGCCAGCTGGACGGTATTTCCTCTGACAAAATGGTGCGGCTGGCTTCTGGGTTAAGGGAGCAGTGTGTCAAGAAGCAGTGCGGCTTGGCAGGAGCTAGAAACACAAGCATTTCGCTACACCCGCAATAACATCTGCTAAACACATATATGTGACCAATACAATTTGATTTGATGTCACACACTGGGGAGCAAGCAAAACTGAAATGTTATGATGGTGGATTTAAAGGAAACACTTTCGTTAACACCACTGCAGATGTTGTGTTTACGCCATAGGGCATGGTTGTAGACTATTAATGTGCGTTTTATTAATTGACATAAATCTCGATGATGAATGTGTCTCACATTGACCACAATATATTTTTGCAAAGGAAAAATATGTTCATAATGCAATTTCAAGTGTTTAGTTGTTTTGGTAATCATATTCCCTCTATGAGCTCTGATTTGTCATTGTGTCATTTTAATGGAACTGAGAGACTGGGGTGGGCTACAATGGACGTCATCTTTCACCTGCTCCCCTGTCTATTATTTGCTGTATGAAGAACAGTAGTTTAATACACAGCACTTCCTCAGTTGAAAGTGCTTGAATCCTGGTTACACTGCATTCAATCTGAGAAAAGTTTGTATTGGCTTTAAACTTTATCAACTAGTATGAAGCAGTAAAACATTAACTCATTGAATGCCAAGCCTGATTTGTAAATTAATTCAGGATTTGCCAGATTAAGTTCTCACTGTCACCCACACTCATTACTAACCCTGTATTTTCATTAAAACACCATTGGGGAATTGAATTCAGGCCTTATGTTTTTCTCTTTCAGCATGAGAGAAGGAACATGGGGGGACAGCAGGGGGGTAAAGGCCACTTCCTTAGTGGGACGTCCTGCTCTTGAGGCTGGGGAGTGTCCCTGTCCTTCTCTGGGCTAGCTGTTGTTCCCCTCCTGGCATTGGGCCAGCAGGGCTGCCATTATTGGGCCTTTGTTGGTTCTGGGGGGATAATTGGCCAGCAGAAGCGATCTCTGAACCCTCTAGGCTGAGTGACAGCCAAGAGAAAGACCCAACTCCCCGTGTCCGCTGTGACAGCTGCCTCACCCAGCCACTCAGGCCTCGCCCATTGTCTGAGGTGTCCTAATAGCTGCCTATGTATAATAAAGAAAAAAACATGCATGTATTTTTGTAATGATGCATGTTTTTGGAGAATTTTGTTGTGAGGTGCACATTTTACATTCTCATTGAAAGTTTGTGGTGCTGTTGAAAATTGAAGTCCCATCAGTTCATGCCGACCTCAAAATTGCTAACAAACATCATTTTCTATCCCCTCAATGTACAGTATATTCAGATTAGACCTCCTCAGAGGCTGTATTCTATCTCCATCTCTAGCTGTCAATTCCCTGTCCATAATGTCAAGTGTTGGAAGTTGTGGTAACCATGGAGCTCCACAGACAGAGAGAAGCTTGTGTGTGTGTGGGGGGGGGGGGGTTCCTCCTCCACTCCCAGACTGCGGGCCAGGCAGAGCAGGTGGGTGGGTAGGAGGGCTTGTCCTCTCCTCTCCCTGACTCTAGTGGACTGCCAGCCAGGAACACTCAGTCTGTCACCAGCTGTCTGCCAGGCTGTACCAGGGCAAGTCGCTCCCCCTCACTGCCCACACTCTCTGGCTGGGTCAGGTCACACCCCAAAGGCCAGGGGATGAGCCTCTGTCTGCTGGGAAGCCCTACTCCAGGCTAGCTGCCATTACATGGTAGGAAATACTCTCTGATCCCACCCAACTGGGATCAGTCATGCCTACTTACTATAGTTAGGGATGGTTTGCTACTATTTGTCTGTTTACAAGCACGGTACATTATGGAGTAGAAGTGCTAACTCTTTATTGAAACTATGTTGTAATTTAGGCAGTATGTTGCAATTTGTAGTAATGAGAATGTTCATTTATCAAGGTTCAGATCTTGGATAAATATTTTTCTATAATCACGCTTGATACTTTATGTGTAAAGTTGTGGTACAGGTATCAGATTTGACTAAAACAATAAATATGAATGAACCAATAATAAGAGGCATATTTGAGAGGAAAACATGTCTGAAATGTTTCCATTAATTTTGCCAAAAAATGACATGCTTGAAATAGGGGTTTTACAGTTATTTGAGAACAGTCTAAAAAGTGATGGTGTTGTAAGCTTTCCGGAATCCCTTAGATGCTGTTAGGAAATGACTAGAGTCTGCTTGTATTTATGCCAGTCTTCAAATCAAATCAAACTTTATTTGTCACATGCTTCGTAAGTGAAACGCTTACTTACGGACCCTTCCCAACAATGCAGAGAGAAAAACAGAAAAAGAATAGAAAGGTAATAACCCGAGGAATAAATACATAATGAGTAATGATAACTTGGCTATATACATGGGGGTACCAGTTCCGAGTCGATGGGCAGGGGTATGAGGTAGATATGTACATATACACAGTGAGGGAAAAAAGTATTTGATCCCCTGCTGATTTTGTACGTTTGCCCACTGACAAAGAAATGATCAGTCTATAATTTTAATGGTAGGTTTATTTGAACAGTGAGAGACAGAATAACAACAACAAAATCCAGAAAAACACATGTCAAAAATGTTATAAATTGATTTGCATTTTAATGAGGGAAATAAGTATTTGACCCCCTCTCAATCAGAAAGATTTCTGGCTCCCAGGTGTCTTTTATACAGGTAACGAGCTGAGATTAGGAGCACACTCTTAAAGGGAGTGCTCCTAATCTCAGCTTGTTACCTGTATAAAAGACACCTGTTCACAGAAGCAATCAATCAATCAGATTCCAAACTCTCCACCATGGCCAAGACCAAAGAGCTCTCCAAGGATGTAAGGGACAGGATTGTAGACCTACACAAGGCTGGAATGGGCTACAAGACCATCGCCA